AAGCTGCACAGAGGCAAAAGCAGGGGTGTAAGTCTGTGTGCTGGCTCTGCAGCCTCTAATTCGCAGGTGGGTCATCCTGTATAGACTCAGAATGTCTATTTGGCCACAAATCATCGTGTTCTTCAATTAGGTAGAATAAAAACTAAATTTGTATTGTCATCTGTCTAACTTCTATATTTTATTTTTCAATATGTTCTAGACTCAGAGGTGGAATGATGAAGTATCAACCATCACTTATAACTAGACATGTTTAACACAGGGTAACAGTTTAGCAAATATAGTACAAACATAAAAGAATATGAAATATAATTCTTGTAAACTATGGGGAGATAAGAAAAAAGATCTGCTATAATCCTAAGTAAAATTTTTAAAGCAGAAATGCAACATGGTATACTCCTATGCCTGCATCTGAAAACGGGAAGAATGCACGTGAGAAATCAAAAGTATTATATGAAAACCATAAAACTAAAATGAGGTAATGAGAATATGGGAGATTTTTCATTTTAAAAAAATCTTCTGAATGTTGTTATAACATCTTTCAGTATCTATGCCTCAGGACAAAACCTGAAGAAAATGTATGAAGAAAGGGAGCTCCAGATTTTTAAAAAAATATATATATTTATACTAATTTCAGACAGGGAGAGGAAGAGAGAGAAACATCAATGATGAGAGAGAATCATTGATTGGCTGCTCCTGAACACCGCTCACTGAGGGATCGAACCTGCAACCCAGGCATGTGCCCTTGACCGGAATCGAACCTGGGGCCCTTCAGTCCGCAGTCCAACACTCTATCCACTGAGCGAAACCAGCTAGGGCCAGATATTGTTTAATGCTTTTTAGAATTACCATTATACTGCTACATATGTAAAACAAATTTTATTTAAGTAAATATAAACCAGACTGCTAAGCGCTCCCTTTCCTTTTATGCATACGGGGTGTTCTTTTTCTAGGAAGCCATCTATCTATCTTATTTTCTGCTAATCTGAAACAGCAGCCACAGCCATCCTGCAAGGAAGTGATACATTCTGGTAAGCTGAGACTCTCAGATCAGATGTCTCACTGGCACCAGGTCATGGTCAGAAGCTTTCAAATAATCAATGAAACCCTTAGGTAGCCGTGGGCTCAACTCCCAGGTTATCAGAGACCTCAGCAGAGCAATGTCACCTCTCTACAACTGCGGCAACATTTAAAAAATATATTTTATTGATTTTTTACAGAAAGGAAGAGAGAGGGATAGAAAGTTAGAAACACATCGATGAGAGAGAATCATTGATCAGCCGCCTCCTGCACACCTCCCACTGGGGATGTATCCGCAACCAAGGTCCATGCCCTTGACTGAAATCGAACCCGGTACCCTTCAGTCCGCAGACCAAACCGATTTTGGCAGCAACATTTTTATAATTCACTCTCCACTAACTTTCACAGATTAACTGGCAACCATGCTTCACTCCATGCTTACCCACTCTCTCCTTCTCCCACCTCAGATTAAATTTTTTTTTAAATGCTGATTCTTTTGAAATTTTGCTTAGACTAAGCCTTTTCTAATATATCTAATATTTTAATAATTCAGCTATTAGTAAATGCTAATTAAAGAAAATAGTCTTTTCATTGCACAAGCAGCTTTGGCTGAAGAAAAAAGCAAAAATGAACCCAAGTCTCTGCTGAAATTACCAACTAAAATATGGAAAAGAATAACTTTGGTTTCTATATATAACTTTCTAATTTTTTTTCTTCAGGGACATGAGTATAAAACCTTACAGCTATAAATATTATCTTTTTCTCATCTCTTTGCTTATCTAAATTCCACCTACCCTTCAAGTATCTGGTACTTGAAGAAAGCCTTGTTTTATCTTCTGCATGAACTCTTAATAATGGCAAAAATTTATAAAGCACTCTCTATGTGGCAGGCACATTGGCCTACACACCTGACATGTATTAACTCACTTAACCTCACAACAATCCCATGAGGTATTATTTTCCCCAATTTGTAGATGAGAAAACATGTACAGAGAGACGTGAAGCAATTTTGTCCAGGTCACACATCCAGTAAATACGTGGTAGGCCCAAGATCTGAACTCAGGCAATTTGATTCCAAGCATATCACTAGGTCATTTGACCTCTCCTCCTGAAGACTTTACAAAGGCTGCAGCTCACCTAATATTGTATAATCTCTCCCTACTGTGTGTGTCACATAGACCCCACAGTAATTTTCATTTTCATTTGATTGAGAGAGAGAGAGAGAGAGAGAGAGAGAGAGAGAGAATGAGAGAACGAGAGAGAGAGAGAGAGAGAGAATGAGAGAACGAGAGAGAGAGAGAGAGAGAGAGAGAATGAGAGAACGAGAGAGAGAGAGAGAGAGAGAGAGAGAGAGAGAGAGAGAGAGAGAGAGAGAGACTGACTCACTTATGGATTCATTGGTTGATTTTTGATTTTTGTATGTGCTCTGCCCAGGGATCAAACCTGCAACCTTGGCACATTGAAACAATGTTCTAAACAACTGAGTAACCTGGCCAGCCACCACAATAATTTTAATAAACTCTTTCTTGTTTACTTATTTGTTTCATACATGTTGCTCGTCTCCAACAAAATTATAAATTCCTTGTAGGCAAGGTATTTTTTTTTCCCTTCTTGTCCCTACTTTTAGCAGAGTGCTGTTAAAGCACTCAATATAGACTACTTAGCTGATTTTTTAAAACCCTTGACAATGTGCTGGCCAACCTAGCTCAGCCTGAGAACCGAAGGGTCTCAGGTTCAATTCCTGGTCGAGGGCACATGCCTGCGTTGCAGGTTGGAACCCCAGCCCTGGTCAGGACTTATACAGGAGGTAACCAGTAGATGTGTCTCTTTCACGTCAATGTTTTTCTCTCTTCCTCTCTCTCCCTCCCTCTCTCTCTCCCTCACACCATTCCACTCTCTAAAAATCAATGGGGGCCTCTACTGGTTTGGCTCAGTGGTTGAGCGTTGACCTATGAACCAGGAGATCATAGTTTGATTCCCAGTCAGTGCACTCACCTGGTAGGCAGCGTGCAAGAGGCAGCAATCAACCATTCTCTCTCATCACTGATGTCTCTCTCTCTCTCTCTCTCTTTCTGAAATCAGTAAAATTACATATATATATCTGTAATTTTACTGATTATATATATATTTTACTGAATATATATATATATATTATATATATGTAATTTTACTGAATATATATATATATATATATATATATATATATATATTTTTTTTTTTTTTTTTAATCAATGGGGGAAAATATCCTCAGGTTAGGATTTACACACACACACACACACACACACACACACACAAACACAAAACAAAACAAAAAAACACCCTGGTAACTTCTATAATATTATACAGACAGATTTTTTAAAATGTAAAATACCATTTAAGAAGAAGACTAAAATATCCATGCATGATGAGAAGGAAATTCTAGAGAGAGAAAACTAGGCATTGCTACAAACTCTAAAGAACAAGTTATGACTCAGCAAAATTATTTCCACACCTAAGAACAGCTCATCATTGTCAGATTTAGCATTACTAAAGTTAGGAAACTGACTACATTTATTTATTTTTCGTCTTAATACATCTCTTCCTGGTGAGTCAGATCTACAAAACCAATGTATTTCCATTTCTTAAAAGAGAACACTTAAAAAAAAATCAGATGAAGTTTTTTCTGCATATGTATAATCAATAAGCGACAACCTGTGTATCAAGGAAATAGCACACACAGAAGAAAAATGCTAAAATCAGAAAAGACTTCCAGGCCTGGCAAACAGAATACATTTTAAACAATGTTTTTCAATCCATCAAAGTGAAAAAATTAAAATGTGAGTTCAAAGACATCTTGTACCAAGAAGTACACACATATAAATACTAAAAAATTTGCTAGACAAGGTACTTGAGCTATCTCTGGAAAAGGCTAATGTAATCCTGAAACACAAAGAAATTCTAATTATGGGGTTTAACTTTGTTATTTTTTAGCATCTGTTAGTTTTCTAGAATCAAGTACTGTGGCAACAGGAGCCAAAGCAAACCAGTGTTTTCTGCAGGCTGAGCTGGTGGGCTACAGACTCCGACAGTTTAAAACAGAGTGTGTAATGCTACTGGACTGCACACTTAAAAATGGGTAAGCGCTGGCCAGTGTGGTTCAGTTGGTTGGATTCAATTCCCAGTCAAGGCACTTATAAGGAGACAACCAATCTTTCTCTCCCCCTACCTTCCTCTCTCTCTAAAATCAATAAACATATCCTCCCTCAGGTGAGGATCAAAATATTAATCACAAAAATAAAATAAAAATGATTAAAATGGTCAAAAAGAAACTTAATGAGATTTTAATTCCATAAAGTTTGAAAAAAGAAAATTACTCTAAATTTATTACAAAATGTATACAAGGATGCATAGTAATTTCTTATTTTCAAGTGACAGCTAAGATTTCCTGCCCACCCCTCAAAATACGGATGCTGAGTTATATAAAGAACTGGAAATTAGTTATAAGTCTCAACCGGAGATCTGGAAAACAAGTAAATATCTTACCCTTAATCTGGCCCCCTAAGTCCAGTTATGTCAAACTACCATGTTCATTAGAGGTAATTTCTAGAAACCAATGCCCCTGTGTAAAGTTAAGACGATGCCTTAGTGTGACTTCTATGAACAATCCATTCCGGCCTGCTCTTTACTTGGCCATCATGCCACTAAAGCAGAATCTGCAACATTTCAAAAGCACAAGCTTTTTATTTTCACACCACTGCACACAATAAAACAGACTTCATGATGCTGTCAGGTTTAAAACAGAGGCTATTACCCTAATCAAAGCTTTACCGAAAGTGATCTGCCAAAGCCCCCGCTGCTAAAAACACAACTACTCTAAGGGCTAACCTCGTCCACATTTTCCCTATCCGCTCTGATGTTTTCCTGCTCAGAAAGGTAAAAAGTACAGCATGATTTTAACATCCCCCCACTCCCTGAAGCAGCCCTCCACCCAAAGGAAAACTCACCTCTGTGAAATGTGTTGATGTGCTACTGTCCATCCGGTTGCCGCCACCACCTAAAAAACTAGAGAGAAAAGGGAGTGAGTGACTCAATTCCCAGAAACAGGCTTCTCTCTCAGAAGCCTAACTGAGAATGGTGCAATGAGAACACAGCCCAATAAGGAAAAATAGCTCATCTCAACCTGACACCTACAAAGAAACTATGACCAACCAGCATGTGGATTCATCTATAAAAACTGTAACTGCAGCCCAGCTGGCGTGGCTCAGTGGCTGAGCACTGACCTGTGAACCATGAGGCCATGGGTTCGATTTCCAGTCAGGGCACATGCCTGGGTTGTGGGCTCAAAACTCAGTGTGGGGTGTTCAGGAGGCAGCTAATCAATGATTTTCTCTCATCATTGATGTTTCTATCTCTATCCCTCTCCCTTCCTCTGAAATCAGTAAAAATACATTTAAAAAACAAAGAACCTATAACTACAGCCCTGGCCAGGTAGCTCAGCTGGTTAAAGTGTCGTTCCAATGGGCCAGGGTTGTGGGTTAGATCAGGGCATATACGAGAATCAACCAATGAGTGATGGAGCAGCATATGGGTCTCTCCTTTCTCCCTCTCTCCCTCCCTCCCAACCTTCCCCATCTCTCTCTCTAAAATCAATCAATCAATAATTTAAATTATAACAACAAAATCAAGGGCCACCACAGAAAAGTATCTACAGAGAGCCAACAAGGCAACTGAAATTTGACTTAGCAAAAGAAAAAAAAAACACATTTATCTTCAAAGAAGGCCAGAAGACAAGATGCTCATAATAATATTTAATTAAAAAGCCATTCAACCACCAAATAAAAAAGTTTGAGACAATAGTTAATATTTCTTGGCAATGATTAAATGTAGTAATATAAGGCCCTAGCTGGTTTGGCTCAGTGGATAGAGCATCAGCCTGTGGACTGAAAGGTCCCAGGTTTAATTCCGGTCAAGGGCATATGCCAGAGTTGCAGGTTCGATCCCTAGCAGGGGACTTGCAGGAGGCAGCCAATCAATGATTCTCTCTCATCACTGATGTTTCTCTCTCTCTTCCTCTCTGAAATCAATAAAAAAAAGTATATTTTTAAGATGCAGTACTGTAAGAAATCTGTTACTAAAATTTAGCGTAGTATTATAAAAGGACTCAATAAATTTTTTTTTCTCCTGATAGATTATCCTATTCTTTGATTATCCTACCCATCCTTCAGGGCCCATCTCAAATGCAATCTCCTTAAGTCTCTTCCGAACTCACTAACCAAATGAGATTCCCCCACACTCCTCTACGCTCTGACTCTGATTCAATTCTACTTTGTATTGTAAATAACTAGAATTTGTCTCATCCATTTCTACCTGTCCCTCCTTTCATAAATATAAATTCAGAGGGCAAAGACTGTATTTTATGAATACAAGTGTGTGTAGTATGTTTATTGTGTGTCAGACATTATACAGAGTACTCATCACTTTTGGAAAACCCTGCAATGCCATATTCCATATTGATAACTTGAAACTAAAAGGCGTTAAATTAGTATCACCTGTGTCAACATCGGAGCAACAACTCTGTAGCTACATAGCTCAATGAAGCAGGAGGATGGCAGGCACCTGAGGGCACAGTCCCTGGAGGGGTCCTGCTCTGTCGTCTACCAGCTGAGTGACTCCAAGCACCAACCTCTCAGTGCCTCAGTGTCCTTGTGTATCAAATAATGGCTCTTATAACAGGACAGTTGGTGAAGATTACTTAGCACATGTAGAACACGTGGAACAGTGTTTGGCACCACAGAAAGTCCTTGACAGAGAATGAGGCTGGTGATGGGGGTGGGGCTACTGGGTGGAGCAAGAAGAAGACGTGTCAGTTACATCCAGGAAGTTGGGAGGGTGCTGCAGCACTGGTCTTGCTTGGCAGAGGAAGGGGGTTCCTAGATGGAGGGTTCAGCACTGTGGGGACAGCTAAGGTGGAAAGAAGGCTGTTCTGAGAACTTTTTAGCAAGACAGGAACTGCTCCTCTCCCCTGAAATATGAGCTTGGAGTCAAAATAGAAACAAACATGACATGTTTCCATGTGTAGAACATTTTGTTTGTATTCATGAGAGAAAACTAGCCAGGCTGGAAAACTATGGTTTGTAAACAAATGCTTTTCTCAAACAGACATGAGCAGGGCCGAAAGTGGCAGGGGGGTTGATAACAAGAAGCACTTAGCTAGTTAATTCCAGGTTATGGAAAACTTGTTAAGAAAAGGATTTAAACAACGCTGAATTCATTACATTGGTTAACAGTGTGGCCTGAGTTAGGCAAATAATATTTTAGCCCTTTACTTTCCTTAAAATAAACAAAACAAGTTGCAGTCAAGCTCACAACCCACAATCAAATGATATCATTGCTGGGCACACGCCCTGATAAAATCCTGGACTTGTTTTTATCCTTTCACTGCCAAAACACTATTCTTTTAAGAAATGAGGGACCTGAGCTGCTGTGTCTCCAAAATGACAGAAATTACAAAAAATACAATCAATGAAGGGTAAAGAAAATGACCCACTTAACTTCAGCTTGAACATAAATTCATTTCTATTTAATTCAGTGTAGAGTGTCCAAATAGAATAATCAGTTTAAAATTAATGTGGTTTACTAACAGTTAAAAGTGATAACACAAGCTCTAGCTGGTTTGACTCAGTGGATAGAGCGTCAGCCTGAGGACTGAAAGGTCCCAGATTTGATTCTGGTCAAGGGCACAGGCCGAGGCTGTGAATCTGATCCCCAGAAGGGGACGTGCAGGAGGCAGCCAACCACTGATGTTTCTATCTCTTTCCCTCTCTCTTCCTCTCTGACATCAATAAAGATATATTTTTTTAAAAGTGGTAACACAAGCTTTTTAGAAGAAGACTGGGGTGAAATGTATTTCCTTTGATAGGTAATTACAAAGTATAGTTTGAAGTTCAAGACGACAACCTTAGGGCAACATTTTAAAAATAAAAATTGGCTTGCATTCCATTCAAGTGCTTTATTTTGTACGGAAGAAATGAAACTTAATCTTCCGGTGTGTAAACAAAAGGGACTTAGTGTACTGCTTTCCCTCTGACACTCAAAAGCCTATGAGTGTTGAAGTAGCAGCTAACAGGATCTAGGGCTTACCAGGCCTACCAAGTTACCTTTGAAAAAGTTCACCCTTTGCCCTTAAAAATGATAGTTCTCTCTTTCAGAAGGCGTGAAGGGTATGGGGAGGAGAGGCAGTTAAACTTAAAGAGGAAAGTTAAAAGGAACTGGGATTTAGTTAAAATAGAAGGCTAAACCCTAGCCGGTTGCTCAGTGGTTAGAGCATCAGCCCATGCACCAAAAGGTTGTGAGTTGGATTCCGGTTAAGGACACACCCCTCGGTTGCAGGCTCGATCCCAGCCCTCGTAGGGGCACCTGTGGGAAGCAACCCATACACGAGTATTTCTCACAACAATGTTTCTGCCTCCCCCCCCCCCCCCCCCCCCCACACACACACACACACGCCTCCCTTCCAATCTATCTAAAAGCAATGGAAAAATATCCTTGGGTGAGGTTTAAAAAAAAATAGAAGGCTAGATTAACAAGGAGCAGGTTATTTGAATAACATTGTGGTAGGCAGACAGGCAAGGGCAGAGCAGGACAATGGGCCAAGTCCAGAATAAGGTCACCAGGTGGAAACCCCAGGAGCTTAGCAAGGGACAATTGAGGGTGACCTTTCCTCCCCTAGCACACCGCTGTCAAGCAGTGTGGACCCCGACCTTTCCCCCTTAGAGGCAACATTTAGGCCTCAGTTGTATTTCAGCTCCAGGCCCCAAAATCAGCAAAACCGGAGAAATAATGCCACGCTGACCTCAGGACCAGCCGCACTGGATAATGATCCCCCAGGAGGAACACACCTGCAAAGCTACTGAATATCCAGTAAGATCTTCCCCTGGGACTTCCCCTAAAATCTCCACCCTTAAAACCTTAAACTGGAGGACCCAGAGGGCTCTCCTCCTGAGAGCAAGCCTGTGCCTCCATATGCCTTTTCCCTCCCTTCTCCTTCCCTTTTCCGACCCCCACCCTTTAGCTTCCTCACCCCCAAACTCCACCCCCTTCCTTTACCTCCATAATGTATTTCCTAAGCCCACTGCTTCTAGGAATTACTTATGCCTCTTGGTTTAACAAGTAAATGTTCTCTTAAAGTTTGGTCTTGGCTCTGAATTCTTTTCTAGCCAGAACCCAAAAAATGTACATAACTGAAAAAGTTTTCAACAGTCTGTTTTCTTTATATAAAGAGAAAAAAAATACTTGAAAAATGTCTATTATGGTATGCTAGTAAATGCTTAAAAACTGGCTGTTTGGAGGAAGGAGAGGGGAAGGAGGCCCTGATTTGTAGTTTTAGCAATTTCCTTGGTGTAAATATTCCACATCTTCTTCCCCCGCCGCCCGAAAAAAAAAAAGACTGGATTTTATTCATACAAGTATATATAGAGTGTTTATTTATGTGTCAGACATTATACAGAGCATTCACCACTTTTGAAAACACTTCAATGCCATATTCTATATTGGAAACTTGAAAATAAGAGTTGTTAAATTAGGATCACATGTGTAAACAATAAAATAACGGCCTATTCCCAAAGACAGGGAGAAATAACATCATGAAATTTACAGAGAGAAAAATGGCTAGCCTCTGGGGAAGGGCTGTGGAAAAAGAACCAAAGTACCACTGGAGACAAGTTTTACTTCGAGAGACACACGTTAGTGGCCCAGCCGCACCCCACACTCACCCCAATGATATCAAGTCCACGAACTACAATAAATGGCTTTCATTTTCAGAATTACACCACCAGTCCGGGAATTGTGCTGAGCGTATCGAGGAAACACATCTTGATTCGTCAGAAACCAAAAGTGAAAAAGCAAAGCAAATACCAAGGTCCATGTGATCGATCATTCCCAGACCGTATACCTTTCTCATCAGAAACCAGTTAACACCTGTATTGGTTCAGAAGTTTAAAAGGCTTTTATAAAAAAAATGATGTAAAACAGGCCCGAGAGTACCCTACAATTTACGCCAAACAAGTAAACGCATTGCCACATACTTTAAAGAAAAGTCGAGTGGCTGTGTATCCACTTTATTGCTCAAGCCTAGACAGGATCCCAAGGCCGTTTCCTGCCTTTACCACACTGCATGGCTCCAGGGATTCCAATATCCTTGCTAGTTAAAGCCATCAATGATCTTTTGGGGTTCTACTCCCCCTTAAAGTCCCTCAGCATCCCCTTTTCCTTACTTAGTATTTAAGATTATAGGGCTAGTCAGAGAGAAGGGTTAATAAAAACAACACTGTTCCGACAAATTTTATAAAGCTTAAGAAAATGTAAAGGTGCCCTGCAGACAGTGGAGAAAAGGGGCCTCATACTAAACCTGACAAGCTCCGGGGAGGCCTGGGTGGCAACCCTACAAACACAGAGACCTAAAGCAACCACGTAAGATGGTCTGAAATTAAAACTTTCTAACTAAAAGCAGTTTATGGCAGGTAGTCAAGTCCTAGGCTAGAATCTTCCCAGTTCAAAGTCCGTTGTTATTTAATTAAGCTTGTCTACAGTCTTTTTGCATCCTTTGGTCGGGCAGGATAATTTCCCTTTCTTCATACCCGTGGGGGCACAACCAGTAACCACAAATTCTCATTGTTATTTTTATTGTTAATTGTTGACTGTTAACCCATGTAAAAGATGCGCATGTCTGTCATTTTGCTTTTTATCTAATTCCAGAGTTTTCCCATTTTGCTTTCTCCCGCCTCCCTAATCTATCACCAGTGGATTTCATGTAGCCTACGTACACCTTCTCTGTTGATTGTAAATAAAATAAGATGAAAAACTGCCATTCTCTGGAGCATTTTCTCAATCCTTGAGATTTTGCTTCCTGGCAATTGTTGACAGAGGCTCAAATAAACTCACAAACAATTCTCAACAGGTTTGAATATTCCTTACGTTGGGGGAAAAAAAGGTTACTATTTAAAAACTGAAAAAGGTAAACCCATAATTGCCAACCAAAAGCAAATATGCTCTTTATTTAACACATGCAGAGCCTAAATCCTGGAAATAAGTATTTGATGCAATTATAATAGCACAAATAAAACTACCCAAATTAGCATGCCATCCACACATACTTGCTAATTTTGCTATCATGCTAGTTTTATGCTGTTAAAATTGGTATTGTGTTATTTAAAACCAAGATTATTAGATTAGCATTTAAGTGCTAATAACAAACTAGATCCCATGCCATTTACTGCCCCAGAAGCTCCAACTCACTCATATAAAATCACCAATCACTGATAAAGTTAAACTGGTAGTACATACTGTAAAATATGTAGGCTTTCCTGGTTGTGGAAGGGACCTTCAAGCTTAGATTCTGCCAAGAGTAACAGTAAAGAAATTATTTACTGCCATTAAAATCCCCAAATCAAGATTAAAAGCTTCAGATTATAGATTTTTATCGTATTTCCACTGTCTAACTTAACTACACAGTCATAAAAAAAAATGTGCCACTATGTTTAGCCAAAAAGGCCATCATATCAATGCTATTCTACTTCTCATTAACTTTTTATAGTTTTATTCATACTAACCAAGAAGTAATACAGTCACTTTCAAAAATATTTCAAGCCCCAGCTGGTTTGACTCAGTGGATAGAGTGTTGGCCTGTGGACTGAAGGGTCCCGGATTTGATTCCTGCCAAGGGCACAGGCCTGGTTTGCAGGCTTGATCCCCAGTTGGGGGCATGCAGGAGGCAGCTAATCAATGATTCTCACTCAATCATTAATGTTTCTCTCCCTCTCCTTCCTCTCTGAAATAAATAAAAATACATTTTAAAACTTTCAAGCATTACAAACTATTCATATTACAGCAGGAAGATGGCATACAGTTGGTGGCAATAATTCCAGTAAGAATAAGGACCCAAGGCTTCCTCAAGGCAGAGTAACAGCTCAGCGTCCTTGCTAGAAAGCAGCCTATTTATTTTATATCTCTGTCAGGTGTTACTCCCAAGCCCGCCAAGGAGGTAACAGCAGTTCACCTTCAAACAACAGGGTCACTAAAAAGTAATCAATAACCTAAGAGAACTCTAAAGTCTCGGAAAATAAATGAAAATTTACCAGATTTACTGTTATGGTGATAGGTTTCCAAGGCAAGTCACTCACAATCAGAAAGAAAACGTTTCATCACACTCACAATCACATCAGTTTCCAAATCTTCCCATTTTTCTTCTCCTTTCCCTCTGTCACTTTCCTCCCCCTCCAAATCCACCCACCTTCCTCTCAGCAGACAGTGTAAGTTACAAAACAAATTTCTTTCTATTCATTCAGACAATGCTGAGAGAAAGTAATTTTGATAACAGAATGTCTGATTTATTCATGAGCTTGTACAATACCTGGAATCATCTGTCACTTCTTCAATAAAGCCTGATTCACATCTGGGACAAATATATTCCTATAAAATAAAATAAAAATAGTTTAATGAAAAGCTAAGTATAACATGCAGTACACAAGCTGATCTGTTTGAAATGTTGTATGTGCTTGCTCATTCCCAGGATAGTTTTTTTCTATTAAACACTGGCAAATGACAAATCCATAAAAAGTTTGCAGAATAGCCTCATAAGTGGTTATCAAGGACAGCTGAAAGGAGGATGTCAAAATTTATTTCTTTTTCTTAATCTGGGTTTTTTTAACTGGAATGAATTCATTATCTAATTTCCTCTTCAAGTCTAATGAAAAAGCTCCATTAACGATAGCAGAGCAGTAAAAGATTGTAATCTTGGTGGATACAGAAATTGCTGTTTTTTACTAAGTACATACAGAAAACACAAACTGAATCACAGCATAAATCAACTTGTAAACTACAATAGAAATTTACAATTAAGTTTTGCAATATTTCTAACCTATTTTTATAACAATGATTCCAAATAAAACTTAATACTCAGATCCCAATTAGCCAAATATCTTGAAAAAGAACAAAGTTGGAGGTATTAACTATACTACAATAATCAAAATAATATAGTACTGCCACAAAAACAGAGATATAGATGAATAAAATAAAAAGCCCAGAAACAAAGCCTCGCTTATATGGTCAATTAACCCACAACGAAGGAGACAGGATATACAACCGGGTAAAGACAGGCACTTTAAAAAATGGTGTTGACAAATTGGACAGATACAAGCAAACAAATAAAACTGGATCACTTTCTTACATAATATACAAAAGTAAACTCAAAATTTATTACAGACTTAAATGTTAGACCTGAGCCCTAGTCACTGAGGCTCGGTTGGTTGGGTACCATCCCACGCACCAAAAGGTTGCCAGCTGGAGTCCCGGTGAGGGCACATGCCCAGGTTTTGGCTTGATCCCCAGTGCAGGGTGACCAGGAGGCAGCCGATTCATGTTTTGCTCTCACATTGATGTTTCTCTCTTTGTCCCTTCCTCTCTAAAAAAAATCAATTTCAAAAAGTAGTTTTAAGTTAGACCTAAAATTAGAAAACTTCTAGAAGAAAACATAGGCAGGTAAACTCTCTGACACTGCTTTTAGCATTATCTCTTTAGATATACATCCTTGAACAAAGAAAGGAAAATTAAATAAATAAATAAGTAAATAAATAAATAAATAGAACTACCTCACACTAAAAACTTTGCACAGTGAAGGACATGTACAAAAGGAAAAGACAACGTATTGAATGGAATGGGAGAAAATTCACAATTGATACATCCAATAAGGGGTTAATATCTAAGCTATCTAAATATCTACAAATAAACACTTAAAAAAACAAAACAAAAACAATTCAATTTAAACATTGGCAGAAGACACGACCAGACATTTCTCCCAAGAGGACATACAGATGGCCGACAGACATGAGAAGATGCTCAACATCACTGCCAATCATTAAGAAAATGCAGATCAAAACCACAATGAGGTATCACCTCACACCTGTTAGAATGGCTATCATCAATAAATCAACAAATAACAAATGCTGGCAAGGTTGTAGAGAAAGGGGAACCCTTATACACTGCTTACACCAAGCATGTCAAACTTGCAGCCCACAATGAATATTTTTGCAGCCCAGACAATATAATGGTATCTAAGAAACATTTTAATAAAAATTTTGTAACTTAATTTTTATAATGTCCTATTACACATAATCCTACATAATAAAACCTTGATATGCAAATTGACCAAATGGTAAAACGACCGGTTGCTATGATGTGCACTGACCACCAGGGAGCAGCTGCTCAATACAGTGTGCTCCCACAGCGAGAGTGCTGCTCAGCCAGAAGCCAGGCTCACACTGGCAAGTAGAGAAGGGGCCTAAGCCGGCAGGCAGACATCCCCTGAGGGGTCCCAAACAGCAAGAGGGTGCAGGCCCCCCTCTCCTGTGCACAGATGTTGTGCACCAGGCCTCTAGTTATTAATAACAAACTACATTTGCTAATGACTGATTACAATAATCATGTTGCATTCATTTCCCTTACACGCCTCACACACAGGTGCACCATTTCTCTCCACTAATACTAGCAGCAAATATTCTAGCAGCCGACTGCCACGTCATTAGTCTTGGACTGACTTGTTTGGTGTGCACAACAGGAAATATTTTGCTTTCGGAAAACAAGAAAAATAGGTTTATTTGCATTACGCTTATTTTGTGCAGTTATCCAGTGTCTGGTAAGTTAATGCTTTAAGAAAAAAAATGTTAATTTTTATTAAAATGTTCTATTATTTTATGTTAACGATAACTCATTTATTTCAGCCCTTTGTATTCAGCATGTCTATTGAAATAAACCTATATTTCTATGAAAATTGAAGATTTTGTTTTTTTGAAGCTCACATAAACTTAAACCTTGTTTATTTGGCCCGTGTTAGCCTTTGAGTTTAACATGCTTGGCCTACACTGTCAATGCAATTGCAAATTAGTGCAACCAAGTTAAACACTTAAAAATTGAGCTGCTAGCCGAAACCAGTTTGGCTCCGTAGTTTGAGCGTCAGCCTGTGGACTGAAAGGTCCCAGGTTCGATTCCAGTCAAGGGCATGTACCTTGGTTGTGGGCACGTCCCCAGTGTGGGGGGGAGGGGGTGTGTGTGTGCAAGAGGCAGCTGATCAATGTTTCTCTCTCATGGATGTTTCTAACTCTCTATCCCTCTCTCTTCCTCTCTGTGAAAAATCAATAAAATATATATATTTTTTAAATAAAGAGCTGCTATATGATCCAGCAATTCCATCTCTGGGTAATTGAAAAACAAAAACACTAATTTGAAAAGAAAAATGCACCCCTGTGTTCACTGTACAATTACTAGTAATAGCCAAGATACAGAAGCAACCGAGGTGTCCATCTCTTACAGGAGAGTGAGACGCTAGGAAAATTCCAGGGCAGGAGAAATAAGGAATCTAAGATAAAAAAAATTAAACATGCAGCCAGCTCTTGCTGCAAAACTATCTGGAGAACAAATTGCTCTCTTTGCTAACCAAAGAATGCAGGGAAGGAGGGAAAAGTGAAGGGGGAGGGAAGGGGCGTCTTAATGCCTCTTCTCCTCAACCACAGTACACACAGCGGAAATCACCGGGAACTGCTAAGGCAAGACGGGGAAGGGAGAAGGAAAGAAGGGAGAACCAGTCCCACTAACAGAGAAGTCAGCCATCTTGGGGAGGGAGGAAGGAAAGGGGAGTTTTTGTCTCATTGACAGAGAAGCCAGAAGACTCAGGGCTTGTCAAGAAAAAATTGCCAAGTACATCTCAGAAAGCCATAACAAAGTAAAAAGAGAAACTTTAAGAATTCATCTGTACCAAGATATTCAGCAGAGGAATTTTTTTATGTTTTGGTTTTTTTAATTGATATTTTAGAGGGAGAAAAGGAGAGTGATTAGAAACATTGATGAGAAACTTCGGGGATCGGCTGCCTCTACAGGCCCCCTCCTGGGGATGGAGCTCCCAACAAGGGCATGTGCTATGACCAGGAATCAAGCCGGTGACCTCTTGGTTTCTGGGTCACCATGAGCAACACCTGCTCAACCATGAGCAACACCTGCTGGGCTGGGCAGAGCGATTTAAAACCTATAGACAGAAGGGTGATAACACCTGAACCCCCACCAGACTTGTTCCTCAGGTTAACTGAGAGCCCGTCCACACTATATAGGCCAAATATATTTTGGTAATTTGCTTGCCTTGCTTCTTTAATAAATTAGCTTTATTAGAACAATGGTGTTACTCATTTGAAATCATTCCTTACGAACCAAGGAGGAGACAGCCCTCTCCCTGATTCAGGGGTTGTCCATAACACCTTTCTTGATGTCTGTGAGTTGCCTGTAAAACATCAATAGACGAATGGATAAAGAGAGGGGTGTGTGTGAAGGGGAACCAAAGTTTTGCCACTTTAAAGCTGTTTTTTAGGATATTTAAGGTATTTACTAAGAAACAAGACTCCGGTTTAGCTCAATGGATGGAGCGTCGGCTGTGGACTGGAAGGTTCCGGGTTCGATTCCTGTCAAGGGCATGCACCTTGGTTGTGGGCACATCCCCAGTGGGGGTGTGCAAAAGGCAGCTGACCGATGATTCTCTCTCATCAATGTTTCTAACTTTCTATCCCTTTCTCTTCCTCTCTGTGAAAAATCAATAAAATATATTTTTAAAAAATATAAAATAAAAAAAAGAAACAAGACTCAAAAAGAACCTTTGACCCTCTACCCAAAGATTTGGAGACAGAAACCTGCTTCAGGAAGGAAATACTAGGATATCACCTTGGACTAATTTGAATTAAGTATGGAAATTAGGACTCAGACAGGGGCCTGCTGGCTAGACACCCTGTGTCCCAGTGTTTGAGTTGCCTACCAAGAATTTTTTTGACATGTATGTTTCATTCTTCCTCAACTACCTATAAATGGTCCAGTCTCGCTTCTGAAATATAAGACCACTGCCCTTTCCTCCTTTGTCCAAAATGTCTTATAAAGCCAATGTTGCCTCTCTAGTCTTTCGAAGTTTCATGCCTGCGTGAATTCCCCATGCATGTGTATTAAAACTTGATTGTCTCCTGTTAATCTGTATGAATTTGATTATTAGCCCAGACTAGAAGAACTTAGAAGGTGGAGGCAAAATAATAATAATAATAATAATAATAATAATAATAATGTATTTTTTAACCCCCACAATACTCTCTCTCCCCGCTGGAATTTTATTCAGCAATTGAAAATGAAATCTTGCCATTCAAAATAACATGGGTGGACCTAAAGGGTATTATGCTAAGTGAAGTAAGTCAGACAAAGACAAATATCATAAGATCTCACTAAAAACATAACAAAACAAACGAACAAACAGAACAGATCTCATGTACAAAACAAGTTGATGTTACCAAAGGGAAGGGGTAAAAGATGGGAATAAAATATATATGCATTAATCCAAAGGTAAAACTGGAAATCAAAATTTAGAAGGTAATAAAGAATAAAAAGCACCCAAC